TGTAAATAGGGAAGGGTGGAGGGGGTGAAGGGAGGGCTAGGAATGGGGAAAAAATAAGAACGAAGATGCATTATGTAAAGGTACAGTTCCCAATGAGAAATGTAATTGTGTTGTATACCTACAATGTACCAATAAAAGAATTTATTCAAAAAAAAAAAAAAGAACTAGGTGTCTCACAGAACTGAAGGATAAGTGTGCATTTTGCACTTGGGAAATGATTGTTACTAGTTACTGGTAAACCTTAAAGACCCCAAACATATCAGTCAGTTTTTAGGTGTCTATTTATCTCTACTTGGCTGCTGCTTTTATTATCCCGTGGCGAAGGACTTTCTCCCAGGACACACAACAAATAATTTATTTCCACGGCTCTTGATTTTCTAATATTTCAGGTTCAGCTTTTAATATTACATGTGACTTACAGGTAGTAGAATAAATTTTTTGGTATTTGCTGTATGCTAAGTGTTAGTAGTCTTAATCTTATTTTAAAAATCCAGTGTTTCTAATGGGCTTTATTTTATCTTTTGTGTCCCAAAAATGCACATCAAGTGAAGGTTTGTGCCTTACAATAATTGCTTGCAAAAGAGTTAATTCATCACACTTTTGCAGCACACATTCTTGGCAGTAGTTTAGGCTGCAGGATGGCTGCAGAGATGAATGTAATGTATTTAGAATGACTTTGCCACTCTGGTTGTGGCCTTGTTGGAGGACATGTACTGGGTCTTGCACAGATGAACGGTGTTCATGATGTTAATTGAAAATTAAATCTCCATTTTTGCCACACCTGAGTTTCAAAAAAAAAAAAAAATAAGTAGCTGAGATTGGCCAGCTATTCCAAGAGTGGTGTGAATGTGTCTTTTGGTCTAAAGGAGCTCTGAGTAGCACATGCTGGCAACCACTGCACAGGTCTGGTGTTAAGTAAATTAGTCTCTGGCTTTCCTCTTGCAGTGGTTAAAAGTGGTTGACCAGCTGACTACTAAAGTTCTAGGTACTTGAGCATTCCATGACAATAAGAAGATTTTAGAACTAAAGAACTACTAGATTTAATCAATCCATTTTAAGCCCATTTACAGAAATAGAGGTTCTGAGAGCTGAGGTGTTTTGATTAGACCAGTAGTGAGTTAGTGCGAAGAGATCTCCCAGAATAAATGTCTCTGCTTCCACTTCTCCTGAGAGAAAGGGCTAAAGGGTCCTCCTTGGGGCAGGAAGGGGAGCAATTAGGCCTTTGCTTCCTTGTTCCTGTTGCACTGGCTGGAGAATTTGGTGGACTCATATCAGGGTCAGATCAAAGTGACATATTCTCTACTTGCTTGAAGCGAGTCAGCAATTTAAGTCATAGACTGAGTCCCAGTGGAATCTAAATTGAAGTTCCGTTTATACTTCTCTTTGAAATTTTCTACAAGACCTACTTCCAACTCTGCCCTCCCTATTAGCCTTGGTAAGCTCACTTTTCCACAGCAGTCTCTCTGGTGCATTGGTGTAGCAATTTACTAGCCTGGGTTGTATTTCTCTGTTGTCTGAGCATCTTAAGAACACGTAGGCTGAGGACAGCTGCCTCCCAGGATCACAGGAAATATAAGTGACATCCTTACTCATTGCCACCAAAATTCTGATGAACAGAACATATATAAGGCCCCTTTCACTCAGTTGGAGTGTCTGAATCAAAACACATTCTAATTGTACTCAAAGGTGTCGGCAGCCAGTTCTTCCTCCTTTTAACCTCTTCTCATATCAATTCATTCTCTAGTTCCTTTGGCAATCACAGTATTGAAATAAGTGCATGCCCTGGGTGTACACACCAGGCAAATCCAGTCAGGGTGAGGCTCATGTGGAGGAGTCATGGGTCATCCCCTACAGCATTCCCATGCTGTTGTTCAGACAAAGAGATCCATTTTGTTGGAGACCGAGGATCTGTGTCTCTGTGGGACGGCAGCTCTGAGATGATTTGGTTATACCACATGCCTAGCTGACCCATTTTTCTGTTTTATTACAGCAAAATGTATCTATGGAGGAAAAGTTCTTGCAGAGGGCCAGCGGATTCTCTCCAAGAGCTGTCGGGAATGCCGAGTAAGTTTGAATCTTAGGATCCTCACACGTCGAGAGAGTGGGGTAGATAGTTGTCATAGTTGTGTGGATTTTAGATAGGTTCTTGAGTGGGGTATGTTGGCCCGGATGGGTTCCCCAGGGGCAGAACCCTCTCGGTACTGGAATGAGGTAGAGGATGGGGAGGACACAGCCTCTACTTGTTTGTGACCAGCTTGAGGTCAGGTGGATCAGGTAGCCTGAGAAGAAGCGATTAAAGGAAGGCTGTTGAGAGGAGAAAGAGCTAGCAGCTACTAGGAGTCAGGCAGGTTGGCGGGTAGCCCAGGAAATGGTTTTCAGTTGGTGTTAGGGCAATTGGTCTGTGATGCCAGATGTGGCAGTGCCAACTCTACTCCCAAATGTCAGATATAATTCTAGAAAACGCCCTGTCACCTGCTCACCCCTTCCTGTGAAATAAGATATAGAGAGTCACAGACCCGACTTAATAATCATCCAGCAAATATGCATTAGGCAAATGCTGTATTAGCATTCTGCTGGATTTCAGGTATACAACAGTGAAGAAAACGAGGTCTCTGTCATTATAGAACCACAGTTTAATGAGGGAGATGGTAAGAAAAGAAATGTATGATATTATGACACATTTTATTTGAAATTCTGAAGTAGACTGAAGGGATAGAGAGATTTGGGGTGGGGATTGGTGATCTGGGAAGGCCTCGCTGAAGATGTAATTTTAGAATAAAACCCTGGACATGGGGTGGGAACCAGGCATATAGTTCTTCGGTTGTGGAGAATTCCAGACAAAGGGAAACAGGCGCAAAGGGCTTGCGATGGAAGCTTACATGGCACGTCCATGGTAAACAAGGATGCCGAGGTGGCTGGAGTAGATTGCACAGGCAAAGAGCAGTAGGAAATGAAACTGTAGGGACCACTTGAGGCCTGAACATTTAAGGCTTTTAAGACAGGATTTCAAAAGTCCTGCGGTTTGACTTTTCTTGTTTATATAACTCCTTATCCACCATGACAATTCATTGTGTTCATTCATTTATCCATTCTTTCATTCAATAAATATTTATGAGCATCTGCAACATACCAGGTGCTATTCTCGTACATGGGGCTAGAACAGTGTTAAGAGTTTCATTAGATGCTTTTAGGGCACCTACTGTGTGCCAGGGACAGCACAGGGCAGGGGTTAAAGAGGAAACCTCAACAACGTAGGGAGCCAGGCTCTTGGAATCACCATTCCATTTAGAATGCATGCAGTGGGGAAGCCATTTCCCAAGAGGAACCTATGGTAATCATAGAAGGGGCGACTCAATCATGGGAAACTCAGTATGATGAATGCTGTCTCCATTAGATAGGGCTGTGGTGCTTAATTGAGGCAGAGGAGTGGACAACAAATGGGGCTAGTTTTAGACATGTTGAGCTTGTTAGCATTTGCCTATCAATTGCTATGAGACCATCTCCCCCAAACGTAGTGGCTAAAATCAATACTTTGTTCTTCTCTCTTATGCTTGCATAGATTGAATGGGTTCAGTTGAGCTCCCATAGGCTGCTAATGGTAGAATCCTGTGAAGGCCAGACATGGCTGGATGAGCAAGATGGCTTCTTTACTTTCATGTCTAGCACCTCAACTAAGGTGAATGGAACAGATATTCCTCTCTGTGTCCCTGTTTTTCTGTGCTGCCATCTTTCTCTTTTTTGTGCCCTCTAGACATGGCGACCTTGGGCCTCCTTACAGCATTGTGGCCTCAGGTGTTTCTCACATGGTGATTGGCTTCCCCTAGAACAAACCCTCTAAAGTCCAAGGTGGAAGCTCCATTTCATCTTCTAATCTGGTCTCCAAAGCTGTGCCTCTCTCTGTTCCTCTGCATTCTATTGGTTATGTAGGGCCAGCCCAGACTGATCACAGAGAAGGGTAAAGCAAGGACATGGATACCAGGAGGCATGATTCTCTAGTGAGACAGGCATCCTTGGAGATCAGCTACATAATAAGAGTTTGTGATACAATTTTCCACTTGGAAATACCTTGCAACCCCCCATACCTGGACGAGAATTTAGTAACCCATTAGATAGCTTATTTCATGGCTAGAAAGCATCAGCAATCAACAAATTCCTTTATTTGGGTGAATGTCTACCTCTTCAGTACCTCTACTTGTTGGTCTTACTTTTGCCCTCTGGAGGATAAGAGAGTGGTCCACTTACTCTTAACACGTAACATTGTGACTGAAAGATCAAAATCTGAAGTCAAATGGACCTGCCTTTAAATCCTGAAATTTTACCTGGTTGTTAGTGAAGTGTTGTTTGTGAGTTTAGAGCTGAGTTAGAGAACATGTCTTGATTAGGAAGAGAAAGTGAAAGCTTTTGCATCATTTTGCATGTTTTCCCTTTTCCTCTCTTGTCCACCACAACATCAGGAAATAATTTTATAGGGAGAACCAACAGCACTAGAGAGAATGTGGATAAGGCCAACTTCAATAAGAGAATATTTGTCAGACAGGCATGGTGGCACACATCTGTATTCCCTACTCTGGGAGGCTGAGGCAGGAGGGCTGTAAGTTCTTAGGAAGATTCTGTCTCAAAATGAAAACTTAAAAGACAGGCTGGAGGTGTAGCTCAGTGTGGAGGCCCTGGGTTTAATTTGAAGTCTCTCTCTTGCTTTCTGTAAAGGGGGGGGGATAAAAATGCTTGTCCCTGTCTCTTGTGCTGAGCTACCTCACCAGAATTTTTTTTTCCTGCCCAACACTAGCTGGAAAAAATTGAGCAAAATAATATTACTTACCTGTCGAATTCCTGGTTCTATGTAACAGGACCGCAGGCATGGACTTCTGTGTTGATGCTATAGTTGTTTATTCTTCAGGGTTAGTGGAGCGCGGGTGAGGAGAAGATATGTAGCCCTAAAGCTGAGAGAGTGAGGAACAGACACAAGAAGGTGAAGGAGGAGAGGCAGGAGAGCAAACCCAAGACTGTGTTCTCGCAGCACAGCTGGTTTTGGGAGGCATCTCCAGAGATGCTGACGGCACCAGTGCGCCTCAGAGTAGGCTGTCTTTGCAAGTGCTTTTACCTGCATTATTTCATTTTCCTTTCGTCACATCCCTGGAGAAAAGGAAGAAATGTATTTGATATATTGAAGAGGATGAGGCATTTAGAGACTCACTGAAGCTTTTCAAGGAGATACTAATAAAAGAAGAGCTTAAATTTAGTTCTTTATAGGAGCCCAGGGAGAAGGCTCTTTCCTGTATCCTGGCTCTCACTGGACAGACTCTGTCCCAGGAATTAACCTCCTTACACTCCCCTGTTGAACTCGCCACCCTCCCTCTTAGCTCGTGGCTTGGGTCCAGCCGGTTTGCCAGGTGCATAGGTATGGTGGTCTCTGCGTCAGTAGTGCTGGTTGTAGAGGTCCCTTAGTCTGTGGCAGAAGCAGTAACAGTTGACAAGAGGGCTTGAGGATCTGTTGATTAACAAGGAAACTCCCGGGCCTGGGAGTGGGGGAGCAGGTGGGGTGATCCATAACCTAGGCCAGGCACTTCACCACATGGATGTTGAGTGGACTAAATGAGGCAAAGCATGTGATGAACTCAGTGCCTCCTAAGTTCTGCTTGTAAATGTGAGCTGTTCATATTATTTCATTTGACCATACACGTTCTCCGTGAGTATAGGACTTAGATCATCATGTTCTCTGTAAACCGTTTCACTTCTAGGGGAGAGGAACTGATTTAGATTCTAAAACCCTTGCTTTTGGCTTCTAGATCAGGGAGAGCTGGCATGATTAAAGGCAGTTTTGCCCTCTTTGCCACGATCCAAGCACCAGCCACAGATTTGTCACTTATAACTAGCAGTTCCTTTTATATTTTTGAGCAGAAGCAGTGAGTGATGTTAGCAAGGTCATCATTATGACCCTGTCCCTGTTATCTTCAGAGAATCAAGGCAGACACACGTGAGACCTGTAGAAGACATGGGCATGGATTTAAAAGCCACCTTATCTGCATGGTCCCTACTCCTGTTACTGGCACATTGTAGGTGCTCTACATCCTTCAGATCACCTTTGAGTGCATTTGTTTTGTTCGTACAATTTACAGAGAAGGTGGGACAGACAGGTTATTCTCTTTGCACAAGTGGCGTGTGCGTGCATATGTATGTGTGGGAGTGTACACGAATAATTTCACCTTCTTTTAAAAGTCATTAATTTGTATTTATTGTCTTTCTGGAGTTATTTATGAAATAGTTACTTTGTACACAGATAGGAAGGCTATTGACAGTAGTATTTAACCTTTCTTTAAGCACTTACTATTTTGGGGGCACCATTGAAAGCATGTGAAATGTACTATCCCATTTAAACCTCCTCCTCATAACCCTCTGAGGCAGGTCCTGTGCAGACAGAAATCGAGGCGCACAGAAGCAAGGTTATGAGATGGGTGAACGAGTTAGCTGGGGTCAGAACTCTTGTGGTTGGTGCATGGATTTCCTTTCTTTAGCCTCTCTGCTGCCGTTCCTGGCACTGACAGACTTAATTGGAAATAATCTCATCTCTGAAGTTCAGAGGGGTAGGTGCTGAAGGACTGGGTGATCACTTCTCAGTCAGACACTGGTCAGAGGAGGGCCCAGTGACCAAGGGTGCACCTACCAGTGGCCACAGAAGAGCTTTGACATGTTTAATGGGTGTGGTCAGCAGGGAGAGGGTGACTGATGTAGGACAAGTCTCCTGGCCTCTCCCAGGCAGCCTAAGATTTAAGGCTGAATGCCGTATGGCGTCTGCTTTTGTAGTGGATTCACTTCTCTCCTAGGTGCCTAAAATGGTGCTCTGGAAGCTGTCTTGGGAGAACAGAGGAAATGAGTACTGAAATGATTTGTGTTCTGTGCTTCAGACAGAGGTGCCTAGTTTACTCAAGTCTGCCTGGAGATCCCTTCGTTCCCATTTTAGGGGTTTTAAAGCTTCAACCATACCCACTGAAGAATACACAAACTTTTGTTTCAAATTTTCTGCCAAGCATTTCCACAAGTTAATATATTGCTTTTGAATCAGATATCAAGATGAATAAACTCTCTTAGCAATCTTGTTATTTTGTCCAATTATTCCTTTTCTGCAGTTATTTTTAGCTTAGCAGTAACTTTTGACTTGAAGATGTTAGTTTTATATGTTAGTAGAAATACAGTGATGAGTTAAGGACTTGAAAGTGCTTATATTTGACTAATAGATGACATGGAGACAGTCACTCAGAAAAAAAAGGAAAGAATTATATTTATCCACTAACACAGAGCTCAATACAGAGGTCGTGCAATAACATACCATAATCAGGAAGATTTAAAAATATTAATTTTAAACAATTTCTTGTTGGAGATAGTTTTTCAAAATAAAGTTAATAAAGGTTCATGTCTAATTAGTAGCTGAACTAAATGTATTTGAGGGCACTTACGCAACAGCAATCACAGTTCATATTATTTTGAAATTCATGCAAAAGCTGTCTCTGTTTAAACACTTGGAATTATAACCTTATTCATTATATATTTTAAAAGTTGATTTGAATTTTTGACTGATTTAATCACCAAGCCCATTTTATAAAAATAAAAGCTTTTATGGGTGATTGTTTAAAAAAAAAGTCTACTGTAGTATGCTTAGTATTGTTTTGATTTGTAAAACAACTATATACACATTATAAAATTTGGAAATTAGAGGAAGGACCTCTAAGGAAGAAAGTGGAAATTACTCCAGAATCTTTACCACCTACAGACAATCTCTGTTGTCAGTTCAATTTTCCATAGTAAGAGTGAAATTCATCTTGCTGACCTTTGTTTGGGGCCTCCTGGAAGAAGACTTGCCCTCAGGCTCTCAGTGAACGTGTTTTATTAACGCAGTGCTCCCAGGAGAAACCAGTCAGACTGTGTGGGAGTCAGGATGGAAGAGGAAAAGCTGAGGAAAGGTGGAATTTCAGGTGGAAGGCGAGATACATCCTGATTCCACCACTGTGTCTGGAACATCAGTTATGCCCCAGGGAGTGTCCACTTTCTGTGAAACGCGAATTCCATGTTCTCCAGTCAGTGGCTTCCCAAGGGAATGGGGGTTGTAGGAGTTCCAGGTCACTTCTGGCTCCTGGGCAAAATGGTTCCAGGGCCCAAGGGCAACTCTGTGAACTGTTTGTAGAACTTGGGTGTGGGCTAATAGAACAAATAAAAGGGATTCAGCAGTATCTACTATTTATATTTAGTCCAGGACATAGTGGATCACAGTAAATATATTTATATTAACAGATAGGATTAGAATAAATCATGATAAGTAATTCAGCATTTTCCATACAACTGAGCCTGTACTCTTTATGGTAAGGTTATTAGCTTTCATTGATTTGAAATCATTGGTTTGATTCTCTGTTGGAGAAACTGAGGCACATCAGATAAGGACATTGGAATTAGGCTTGGTGCTAACTCTTGAGGCTCAGTGCTGCCAGTGTGAGCTAGAGTGAGGAGTGAGGGTAGAATCTAGTGAAAAGTTGAGCCAGACAGTGAGTAGTAAGATCAGTTTTCAGGACTTGGGGCCAATTCTAGGATAGAATCAGGAGAAAAGCAAGAAATGAAGAGCAAAGGAGAAGAAAAGAGAGCTATGCTAAAGAATGCTAGATGTTGGTCTAGCTGGGTGGGAAATTACAAGAAAAGAGAGGGAGCCATGCTGCAAATCAGTTATCCAAAGGAAGACCGGTTGGAAGTTTATATTTGACATTGAAGGTTATATTTGTGTTTGCGTTTGTATGTAAGAACCTGTGTGCTGATGTATCTGGAGTTCTTGCGCAGCTGGAGAACTATAGAGGGTCCTAGAATGAGCGAGTCTCTCGAAGAGGGAAGACGTGGTATCACCGCAGTCTGTCCGTGCTATCCTGTTCTCCTCACTCCCTTTGGAACTGCCTTTTGGCTTTAAATGAGACTCCTTGTTTGAACTTGTTTCTTGGTTGTTTTAAACATCTTCCTAAGAATGGGAGAGAAAAACTAAATGTTTTAGGTATGATAAGGGTCTCTTCAACCTTCCTAAAGATACTAATCAGTGGACTCATTTTTAAAATTCCTTGTAAAACTAAATACAGATTCTAGAATGCCAACAAAGAGGACCTTAGATGAAGTGAGGTCAGAAAGATTCAGCTGCTGAATATTTAACATTTTATTTAAGTGATTTTATTTATATCTAGGGAAAATCTAATGCTCATCTGGCTGACCCTCTTTGCTTTCCTTCACATCTGAATAACTTGGCTCCTGTCAGACTCCTTTGCCAGAGGGATCTGTCTCTTCTTTTTTTCCATTATTCAGTTTTCCTTCAGGATGGCATCTCCATAGTTTCTCCCTATCTGGTTAGAATTCATTATTCTCCCATGACATCATATAATGCTTTTATTGGAGCAGATTTTTTTAGGACTTGCTGGACTATATTATGGTTTATAGTTTAAGAAATTTTGTCTCCTTCTTCCCAAACTGTGAGCTTATTAAGAGCAAGGAGGATGGCTTGCTCATCTTTGAGTTTGCACTGCCCATTACCCAGCAGAGTGCTGGCACTGGTGCACATAAGAAAATGGTACAGAACTCTCAAATTCTGCTTCACTGATAGCATTATGTTGGTAGCTCAGAATCCACCATTGTTAGGATAAAAATCTATCAGCCGACACTGTCAGCATCCTTCTGCTCTACAGAAGATACTAAGAAACCTGAATTGGGCTCAGTTGACATAGAAAAGAGAATTTGCCTTCTTTTCAGGAGTCTCATTAGTTTAATTTGCAATGTTATCATTATTAGTGGAATTGCTCAGAGTGCTATTAATTATTGTAGGTTGTTATCACCGCAGGCTATTAACAATGAGTGTTATTAGTTTGTATCATTGACTAAACACATAACATCATTTTTGTTTTCCTGATATTTGGCTTCCAGGGTGGAGTTTTAGTAAAAATCACAGAAACATGTCCTCCTTTGAACTGCTCAGAAAAGGATCACATTCTTCCAGAGAATCAGTGCTGCCGGGTCTGTAGAGGTAAGTGGGCTTGGTGGAGGATGGAGGGCTGTGCGTGGGTAGCGCTCGGGTGGCCTTGGGGGTGTGTGTGTGAGGGCTGATGATGACAACACGCACCCCAGACTCTGCTCTGTTGCTTACAAACTTTCAGTCCCTATTTATCTTTCTCGGTCATTGTCTCTACATTTGCAAAATGAGGATAATAATATCTCCTTCCTAAGACTGCTGTGAAAATTAAATGAGATAATGCATAAGCACCTAGCTTAATGCCCAGTGTGTGATAAATGTTCAATAAACGAAAGCTACTATAATAATGCTAATGATAGTTCCTGTAATGATAATCATTCTCACCATTATTACATTTTTCTCATGAGTAGGATTGAAAAGTATTCTTTTCAGCCTTGTTCATGGGCCCATTCCCATATCTCATAGAAAATATAAGTTACAGTGAATCCTTACTCATGAAACTGATGTGTGTGCAACTTTTTTAAAGCCTCTTTTAATAAAACAGACTGAAATGAATAACAGTGATTGCTAATTAATTCTTGGGTATAAATTGTTTTGCTCCCTCTTCCTAGAATTCCCTGTGCCCCCAAATATATTCTTATTTCTCGAGCTCACGTGTTTCTTCCTCTCTCTGAAATTCTCACCCAGACAGAATTCGTTGAGTAAGAACCTAGAATTTATTCCAAATCCTAAAATCAAGTCCACTGAAACTCATAACTAATTATTTTTAAAACTATATCTACTCCCAATTCTTCACTTTCTCAAGTGCCCAGTTAGATCCATTTTGGCAGAACTTAAACACTTGCAAAATTAAGGACAGAAGCAGCCTTGTGCTTTAGCATGGGTAACCTCATATTTTACGTTTTTCTATCTTTTCTATAGCACAAGAGTTGGTAAAAATTTCCTATAAAGGGCCACAAAGTGATCACGTTTGGCTTTGTAGACCAGAAGATTTCTGTTACAACTACTGAATTCTACTACTGTAGCGGGAAAACAGCATAGATCATAGGTATATGAATAGCTGTGGCCATATTTCAGTAAAATTTTATTTACCAAAACAAGTGGCAGCCCCTAACTTGCTGACAACTTCCCTAGCACATTTTCATACATAAAAAATATATATGTTACCATAGTGTATTTTCACTTTAGGCTGTGGCTTCTGTCTGTGGTTGTCATGAGAGAGTTAAGCTTTGGTAAAATTCTTAGGAAATGTTGGTACCTTGAGAGTCAGGGACATACTAACCATGCCATCAGAGCATCTGCCCTCATTCATCTGCTTTTATGAGTACAAGCATATTTGCAGCTGGGATGCTTTGGAAATACTTAAACATTGAGTGGAATTTCCAGAGGGATACATTTATTGGTAACCAGTAAGGTCAGGTAGGTCTTATAATTTAATGCAAAATCCATCACTTGCTCTTTGTTGAGATGCCAAGTGGGACTCAGCTTATGCAAATCCCTTCTGATTTATGGTTTCATTAGAGCAGAATCATTGATTAGGCCACAGAAATTCAAGAGGAATTTCATTGCTCTAACCCAGTTTACAATGGAGCAGGTGCCACTGCTTCTGTTAGTACTTGTCATGCCCTTCTTTATCAATAGAGATGCTGACAGGTGTCACACCTCACTGAAAAGCAGATTCACATGGGGCTCCCATTGCTAGCACCCTAGGGGCTTTTACCAAACCTCACTCAGCTATAGAAAAGGCAGAAAAGGGAGTGAGGCTCCACAGACTGTATCTTACCTTGGGCCATTTGTGAAACTGAGGGTTTTTCTCTTCCCTTCTTCATATGGTTTCCTTCTTTCCCAACCAGGAAATACTTTTTTTTGGAAACTGTTGGTTTTCTCTGGAGATATGTGGGGATAAGTGAGTCTCCTTTGTGCTCTTTGATAACTCCACATTTTGACAGGAACTGGACTGTGTCTTTCTGAAAAATATGTTGGAGGGGCATTTCTTATGGGAAGTAAGGTGAATTAAAACTTTTAGGCCTATGAGTTCTCTGTATCTCCTATATTATTCCCAACACAGAATTCACTGGAATGAGGGAAGAATTATTTTTTACTAAGGTCCTTGTTAGCCCCTTTAACCACCATTACTTCCTTCTTCCTTGTTGATCCAAGCAAAGAGAATATCCAGCCCACTTGTCCACATGCATGGCCCTGCTCTGCATATTGGGCAGTTAGAAAATAAAAGGCATGTTTATCTGGGCAGTCAGTATATCTTTTTCATAAAACCCTACAGTTTCAATAATGGCAAAACATCAGTCCAGATGAGCTGAAGTACTATGTCTTAAACTCTGCACTCCATGAATTTTAGTTCATTTCTATCCATTCCAGTTTATTTTCCAAGCGCTTCTTTACATGTAACTTAGAAGTCTCACAATTTTGTGAGAAGTCCTTTTCCCCCTTTGACTTCTATTGGATTTTTACCTTTTCATTCACATTTATGTTTTTCAAGTAGGGTCTGGCAGGAGAAGGAAGGGCTGAACAGTTACTCTTCAGACAAGATTTGGAGAGCCCAGGACTTCTTCCAAGGCAAATTATTCAGTTTTTTTCTTCCCCCTCCTCCTTTCCCACTATCTAAAACAGAAAGTAATGAAAAAGTAAGAAACACTCAATTTCTCAGTAAAGCAATTTCTGTCCCGCACATGGGAAGGCTGTATCATTTGCTCTGAGGGCTGTTACTGTCCACAGATTGGCAGGCAGCAAGTAAGGAGAGAGTGGGAGTTGGAGGGGATGAAGTGGGTGTTTCAGGATGAGCACTGTGATGTGGTGTCATACAGCTCTGTGACTTTTGCCACCCTGATGGTAGCGATGACAGAAACCAAAGTGGCCGTGGCCCTTTCAAGCCACTGAAGATCTTTCAATTAGCATCTTTAACCCCATAAGCATCATGTCACTAGTTTGAAAGAAATGACCCCTGGAGAATATCATTTTTCAGAAGTCTAAGTCAAAAGCCTTTTTGAGGAATTGGAAGTTTTCCAAGAGGTTTATTTTCATGAGGGCTTTCACAAGCCACTTTGCCTGGGTGATTATTGCTCTCTGTCCCCAACTGGCTGATGATGTAGTATGAATAAGGCTCTCCACCTTAAAAACTAACATTCATTTTCATGATTACATTTTGAAAATTGATTCTTTAAATGTAGGAGGCAAGTTAGGGATGAAGATACCTTCCTGTCAAAGAGGATGTTTCATTTTTGTTTTTGTGGTCCCGGGGAATAGACCCATGGCCTCAAGCACGCTTGGCAAGTGCTCCATCACTGAGCTACACTCCCTCCCAGTCCTTTCTGTCCTGCCCTGTCCTTTTCTCCTTCCTTTCTTTCTTTCTTTCCAATGATTCATTTGAATTTTATTATTTCATCAAGACAAGAAACAGAAGCTGTCTGGCTTTATTCACATCAACCAGTAATTTCACATTTTAAAGTTTGTGATGTTTTCCATAATGAGCTGAATCAAAAATCTATTTGAAAAAAATATATATTTATATAAAAAAAGATTCAGGTTGTTTGCATGTAAAACATCAATTGGTAAGTTTCTTTTGTCTTTGATTCCATGTTGCTGGAAAAGGTTTGACCAAGCTTGCATGCTAATTTGTCCTTAGTTGCAAGTACTATAGGCAATTTCATACTTTGCCTAATGAGAGGATAACCCTTTTTCTATATAATCAGAACAATGATTCAGAAGCAACATCCTATCCTTAATACTGTTAGTTGTGAGGCATCAACATGAAAATCCTTGAAAAGGCTGAGATGTTGCTAGGAATGAATTAATGTAGCAGAGTTCCGCAATACTATTTTGCTTGGGTTTTTTTCTGACTATTGATTGATTTTTTAAAAATCCATGTTTCTTTCCTTCATCCAGAGCGTTCTAGATAATGAAACTGACTGGTTTGAGACTGTCATTTTGATTCTTTTTTTATCTTGTAGGATGCCTGCACATCCCCTCCAGTTTTTTTTGTTGTGTTTTCTTATGTCATTTTCATGTCAATGACTTTGGTGTTATTTTTAGTAGTAGATGATAGAGTCTGTATATTTTGTGTCTGAAATATTGCTAAAACCCCATTTTGCTCAGTTATAACTCCTTTCCTCAAGTTATAACTTGTTCGTTTTTTATGCAGTAATTATTTACTGAGTGATATGCATGTCTTCATATGGTCACTGGCTCCCTTCCATTGACTCATCAAGATGAACGGTGCAAACCAAAGTTCTGCCTTGACTTTGTTCTCTGTGGGAGTTAAATCCGAGGGCTGAATGTTAAGAAAACAAGTTCTTGTGACTTACACTGTTTAGTGTATTAACAGAACTGGTATCCAGACCAGAGCCTCAGATGCCTTGACTCTTCAGATCTCACAAATGCTGTAAAGAATTCCCCTTCTCTTTAGACACAGGTGAAGGTACCCAGCTGAGCAGGTAGTCACATCCACAGGGCTGTTGCTGCAGCCAGGATGCCTAGGGAGAGGACTCCGGAACAGTGTGGGCAGACACATGCAGAGGGAGTGAAGGTGATGGACACTGGTGGAAGAGGCCACTTAACAGTTGCTGGGCTCAGGTCTCAGGTGCCAGCAGGACCATCTGGAACAGCCCTCGTCATGGCTGCAGCTTTTCTCTGATGCCTCAGAATGGTTTGTGCTGGCAGCATGAAATTTGTTTACCCTCCTCATTACCTTGAGGTAATAGCCATAGCAGGAGCCTGCCCACTTGGAGCATGAGGCCGTTTGGTGGGGAGCAGGAGAGGGCACAGGAGTGACATCTGTGCTCCTTGCTGGAAAGGAGTAATAAAGGCCTGAATGTAGACCCAGCAGAAAAAGATTGCTCATGAATTTCCAGGGCTCTCAGTTAAAGGCTGGAAAGGGAAATAAAAATAAAGCCAGCAACACTGACCATGCATTCTCAAGACTGCTGCAGGAAAATACGCCAATCATATGGCTCATCCCCAGAATTCTTGACACACTCCTCATGGTTTTATTCCCCTCATCACCGGCTCTAATTGTATCTTCAATGTTGCCAATGATTTTG